GAAAGTCCCAAAGTCTCTCCAGAACATTTTCAGTTAAATAATCCTAAGTAATGGGCATCCCAAAAGAACTTTCTCTGCCTGAGACCCTGGAAATCTGCTTCTAATCAAAGCTAGGCTGGATGGCAGCCATGCATGTCCAAATTACTTTTTGGAGGCCCTGACCCGGATAGCCCAGGCAAGCCTGATTTTGTCAGATCACAAAAGCTAAGTAGGGGGGACCGTGGCAAATATTTAGAGGGGAGACCTCCAGAGAATACCAGGGCCGGGAGGCCAGAGGCAGGCGATCAAGCCACTTCTCTGAATGTCCTCCGTGCCCAGTAGAAGTCACCAGAGGTCACCATGACTTCCAGGCACAGGCACGCACACACAAGAATGCAAAAAACCCAGTAAAATAAAAACAAATTATTTTTGGAGGAAATCAGCCACAAACGGGCATCTTTTTGATGCAGCCAGAAGTTCTTCCAAATCCAGGGTTGCTTGGGAGGCCCATTGTCGCTACTGGAGAGCAGAGTTTTCAAATCCAGTAAGAAAATCCATCAGAATATCGCAAAACCTGTAAGAGCTTCAGGAAAAGAATTCTTCTTTGGAAACCAGAAGTGAACGGCCACCGGGGATTTTCTCCTTCCATGTACTACAAACTATTCAAACCAGCTGAGCCAAGAAGACCAACTCTCCAACCTCCTTCCAGTTCATTGGCCCAAACCCTTGAGTCTTGCTCGCTTTTGGAAAAAGGACTGCCAACCTCGACGTGGAGCTTAGAAATCTCCTGGAATTACATTAATCTCCCTATTACTGAGATCAGTTTCCCTGGAGAAAATGGCTGCTTTGAAGGGTGCACTCTAGGGCATTATACCCCACTGAGGTAAAGTAAAGGTTCCCTTGCTCAAAAGCCAGTCGAATCTGACTCTAGGGTCGCGGTGCTCATCTCCGTTTCAAAGCCGAAGAGCCAGCGCTATCCGAAGACGTTTCCGTGGTCATGTGGCCGGCATGATTAAACACCAAGGTGCACAGAACACTGTTACCTTCCCACCGAAGTGGTACCTATTTATCTACTTGCAATTGCTTGCTTTCGAACTGCTAGGTTGGCAGGAGCTGAAACTAGAGACGGGAGCTCACTCCATCATGCGGCACCCGGGTCTCGAACTGCTGAACTACCGACCTTCCACAGCCTTCAGTTCAGCGTCTTAACCGCAGCTCCCACTGAGGTACCCCCTCCCCAAACCCCACCATCAGATCTCGGAAGCTAAGTAGGCTCAGCCCTAGGATGGGTGACCTCCAAGGAACCCCAGGGGAGTGACGCAGCGGCAGGCCATGGCAAACCACCTCTGAAACGTCTCTTGCCTTTAAGAACAAGTCTAGCTCACCACCTAGTGGTGCACAGCACTAAAAGAGCTAGAACGGGGTGGACCGAGGGTGGGGATCCCACTCCTGACCTTCGATGGGGCACTGCTTGGGAGTGGCTCTTGGATGTCTCACTAACAATGGAGCCCCAGGTAGCAGCCACGGCCAAGTCTGCCTTTTACCATCTCCGGCTGATCAGGCAGTTGATTCCCCTCCTTGAACGCAACAACTTGGCCACAGTGATCCACGTGATGGTCACCTCGAGACTGGACTACCGTAACGCTCTCTACATGGGGCTGCCCTTGTCGCAAATCCGGAAGCTACAGCTAGTGCAAGATGCTGCAGCCAGGCTTTTAATGGGCCTCCCAGTGCAGGAGTGCATTCAGCCTGTGCTGAAGGCATTTGCACTGGCTACCGATAGCATACTGAATTCACTTCAGGGTGCTAGTTCTGACCTTTAAAGCCCTTTATGGTCAGGGACCTGCATACCTGAGGGACAGCCTTTCCCCACGTTCCCCAGAGAGCACTGCTATCAGGGTCCCAAAATCGAGTGGCCCTCCCCAGACCCAAGGATGCCAAGCTGGCTATAACCAGGGCCAGGGCTTTCTCGGTGGCGGCTTCTCGCTAGTGGAATGAGCTCCCAGAAGAGATCAGGGCCCCGCGGGACCTCATGCAGTTCCGCAGGGCCTGCAAGACGGAGCTCTTCCGCCAGGCCTTCAATTAGGAGTCGCCCCCCGATAGAGAACCCCTGACGACATTAGGAACAGCCTGTGCTGGCTGCACAAAGGCTAGATCTATCGGCTGACCACTAGGATGGAACAATGGAGGCTGGCCGCCATCAGTTAATCATTAATAATATTAAACGTATTTGATAATACTAAACTTATCTACTAAACTCGCCACTCTCAGGTTGAATCCCTGGCACCTCCAGTTAAAAAGACCAGGAAGCGGACAATGTGAAAGAATTCTGCCCGAGACCCTGGAGAGCCGCTGCCACCCTGAGTCAATACTGACCTTGATGGACTGGTGGCTTCATTCAGTAAAAGGCAGTTTCATGTGTTCATGTGTGTGATTTGCAAACCGGGGTTTGTGCTACCTTTGATTGGCCGTGATCGCCTGAATTGACAAACCGTAGTTCCCGTCATCCGGTTTGCCTCCAGTGGTGGCTGCTGCAGCGTGGAAACTGGATTGAACTTACAAAGCAGAAAAGGTCACCAATCAAACACCAACAAGCAGCTGTAACCCGCAGTTCACTTGTGGTGTGCCCTGACCTGGACAGCCCAGGCTAGCCCGATCTCGAAAGCTATGCAGGGTCGGCCTTGGCTAGTATTTGGAAGGGCGACTTCCAAGGAATACCAGGGCTGTGATGCAGAGGCAGGCAATGGCAAACCACCTCTGAAGCGTCTCTTGCCAAAAAAACAAGTCTAGCTTGCCACCTAGTGGTCTAAAAGAGCTAGAACTTCTGACTGCCGGACAATCTTAGGATCTTCTGCTATTCTGTACACCATGCCATATGATAATAATAATCATAACTTCCAAGGAATACCGGGGTCATGATGCAGAGAGAGGCAATGGCAAACCACCTCTGAAACGTCTCTTGCCTTAAAAAAAAACACAAGTCTACCTTGCCACCTAGTGGTCTAAAAGAGCTAAAACTTGCCTGACAATCTTAGGATCTCCTGGCTCTTCTACGCACAATGCCTAATAATGATAATAATAATAATAATACTTGTGGTGTACTTGGTGCGATGCTTGAATTGAAATACTGGAAGTAGGCTTTTTTCACCTTGTGCGTTCATTTGCAAATGTATGCCGATTTAACCCACATGATGGATGGGATGTTAGCCCTTCTAATTAACATGAGGCACTTCTCTAATTATCACAATACATAGTAAATAGCAACTCCCCCACTGGAAATGATACGTCCCCCCACCAAGATTGCCAGCTTCCAGATGGGCCCTGGAGATCTATAATTACAACTGATCTCTGGGCGATATCAGTGTCCCTGGAGAAAATGGCTGCTTCGGAGGGTGAACTCTATCTCCCTCTCCTCCCCAAATCCCATCCTCTACCCAAATCTCCAGGGCTTTCCCAACCCAGAGGTGGCAACCCTCCCACCAAGGAGGTGGATACTATGGCATGGTGATGTACAGAAATGTTGAATTTAGCAAGACTTTTTTTTTTCAAACACACTTCCTATGACTAGCAACCGTGCATGCATAATTTCAATGGATTAGCCCCTCCCCCCCACACACACCCATAACCCAATAAATGCTCCATTCATTCATTGTAGTGCATAGTTTAAAGATACTGATGTTGGTTTCATTGGCTTCACTGAATTTTCGACAACTCTGCCAGCGGTTGTCTATCATTAACAAGAGCTACCAAGGATCCAAGAGTGAATCCGCATGACTTTTTCCCTACCTCCCCCCAGGCCCCGAAAACTCATTATGGTGTGCCAGCTTCGTGGCAAGGAAAAAGTGACCTGCTTCTCTGGATTCATGTTTCGGGGCAAATGTATAGTAAACATACTGCATAAAACTGGATTCTCCTGTGATTCCAAGCACACTGCGTGAAGACAGTTCAGGTGGGGGAGTCATGTCAGTCTGCAGCAGCAGAACAAGATTTGAGTCCAGGAGAACCTTAAAGACCAACACAATTTTCCTGGAGAAAAGCTCACTTCATCAGATACAAAGGAGAATGAAGATCCATCAGCCCTTATGTCCAGGTCAGAAGGTGGGAGTGGGGTTACAAAGAAACTCCAACAGGTCCTTCCTGACCACAACCCTCCCACCTCCTGACCAGGATATATACAAGCAGTAGGCTTAGAACAGATAAAAATAAGTACTTCTTCACCCAAAGAGTCATTAACACGTGTGATTCACTGCCGCAGGAAGTGACGATGGCAGCTAAAATGATGAAGGGGATGGAACACTTTCCCTATGAAGAAAGGTTAAAGAGGTTAGGGCTCTTGGACATGATGACTGGGGGGGTGACATGATAGAGGCTTACAAAACTATGTATGGAATAGGGAAGGTAGAGAAAGAAGTATTTTTCTCCCTTTCTCACAATACAACTCGTGGGCATTCCATGAAACTGATGAGCAGTAGGCTTAGAACAGATCAAAAGAAGTACTTCCTCACCCAAAGAGCAATTAACACTTGGAACTCACTGCCAGAGGACGTGGTGGCAGCTACAAGCATATACAGCTTCAAGAGGGGACTGGATAAACATATGGAGCAGGGGTCCATCAGTGGCTCTTAGAGGGAACACTCTGTCTGGGGCAGTGATGCTCTGTATCCTTGATGCTTGGGGGGCAACAGTGGGAGGGTTTCTGGAGTTCTGGCCCCACTGGTGGACCTCCTGATGGCACCTGGGTTTTGGCCACTGTGCGACACAGAGAGTTGGACTTGATGGGCCGTTGGCCTGATCCAACATGGTTTCTCTTATGTTCTTATTTGTATCTGAAGAAGTGAGCTTTGACTAATGATACCCTGGAAAAGATGTTGGTCTTTAAGGTGCGAATTTTATTCACATGCACCGCAGGAAGAAATCACGGGCTCCTCTCTACCCATCCTGAGAGTCAAGGCAACGTGGGAGAAAGGATTTTATAAGGCTTCATTAGATGGCTCCTCCTCCAGTCTAAGCACACCCAGAGTTTATCTTGTGTGAATTTTCTGGTGCCGAACAAGGACAGCGCGGTGCGAAAAGCTTTTCCCGCAGGTTGTGCACTGGTGCGGCCTCTCCCCCGTGTGGACGTTCTGATGCCTAATGAGGACAGCACGGTCACAGAAGCATTTCCCACAGGTGGCGCATTTGAAGGGCTTCTCCCCCGTGTGGATTCGCTGGTGCACCATCAGGATTTGCCTCTGGCTGAAGCTCTTCCCGCATTCCGAGCAGGTGTACGGTCTCTCCCCCGTGTGCACGCGGTGGTGCTTCACCAGCTGAGAGGAAGTGTTGAAGGATTTGTCGCAGTCCGGACATTTGAACGGCTTCTCTCCCGTGTGGGACCCTTCGTGGATCATGAGGCTGGAGTTGCGGCTGAAGCCCTCCCCGCACTGCGAGCATTTGTACGGCTTCTCTCGCGTGTGCACTTTGCGATGGCTGAGGAGCTGCGTTTTCCGGCCGAAGCTTTTGTCACACTCCGAGCAGTTGAACGGCTTCTCTCCGATATGAATCCTGTAGTGTCGGGTCAGGTCTGAGCTCACCGTGAAGCTCTTCCCACACTGTGAGCATGTGTAGGGCCTCTCCCCCGTGTGGGTCCTTTCGTGCGCCACCAGGGTAGACTTCAAGCTGAAGCATTTCCCACAATCTTTGCACATGAAGGGTTTTTCCCCAGTGTGTGTTCTCTGGTGTGCAATGAGAATGGTGGTCCGGCTGAAGCTTCTCCCACATATGGTGCAGACCTTTGCCCCTCGGCTTCTCCGCCTCCTCTTTACCACTCTGGTTTGGTTCAGGTCCCCGCTTTCTTCTAAGTATGGAAAGAAAACACCCACTCTCGAATCTAGACAGTTCTTCCTTTGAGAGCCATCCCGAATTACAGAAGTCTCTCCATCCTCCTGAGGCCAGGTGGGTTTTTCCAGAGAGATTCCATGCTTTCCCACTCGCTCTGGCTTTTGTGGCAGAGGTTTATCCTCTTTGTTCTCTGTCATCCACCCATCGCCTAGGAGCACAGGCGATGAAATCGAGGTGTTGTTATCTACAGTAAAACAAGAAACCTTTACAGGGGATTGTAAATATAGTATTTCAATTTATCTTATTGTTTACTTAATTCATTTATTCCCCACCTTTCTTCCCAATGGGGACAAAAAGGGCTTAATGTCTGTGACGGAATAGCACAGAAAAGCAGGCTTTTTAAAATGCTGCTTGGTAACAGAGAGTCAGGGGAGTTACAAGTTAATCTTCGCTGGAGAGAAGAGCTGAGGTGATTGGCTACTCTGCTCACTCTCTGATTGGCCAACATCAGCTGAGAGAGATATAAAACAGCTGATCTGGAGGGGAAAATGGTCTTTCTGCCTTTTTGCCTTTAGGTTTTTTGAAATCTAACATCTGAATCAGTAGCCAGAGGTTACCTTCTGAGGGAAGAGACATTTGGGGAATCAGTGTTTTCTGACAGGCAATAGTCAGAAAAGTACTTCTACAGAAAGAAGAAGAAAAAGCCCATTGTCCAAATATATTATTACTGCTCTGAAGGAGAACTTAGATTCTCAGTAAGCAAAGCTGCAGGACAACCTTATACAGACAAGGATACTGGAGAAGGATTTGGCAGAAAGTCTGGAAAGTTAGAGAGAACTCCCAGACCAGCCAAATAGCAGAATAACTTCCTGCCAGTTAAAGGGGATGGGAAGAGGACCCTGGTCTGTAATAAAGGAGAGTAGCTTAGACACCTCAGGAGTTAATGAAAAGCTGTATTATCTAAAGGAAAACCTGTAATATCTGAAGGAAGAAATCTAGGAACATCAATAAGAACTGTGTTGTGCTGAAACATACTAAACAAAGTACCTCTCAAAGAAAGAAATAGAGAGCCTTGAAACAAAACTACAAATACACTCTCTTGAATATTCTAAGAATTCACCTCTGAAAATATTAGAAAGTTTTTACCTCAGAAATCTCAAAACCTTGTCTATTCCATTTATAAATATATTCCCTGCCTGTTTAATAAATTCTTCTTTCTGTTTTTGAAAGTTAGTTTGCCTCAGGTGTCATTTCTCAATGAGGGTTTAAAGAACACTGGACAGCTCCTGTCTTTTTCAGTAGTGTTCTTGAGCTGAGAAAAAGCCTCAACTAAAAATATCCAAACATAGGGTGAGACAGTCAAGTATTTTATGACAAAGAATATATACTGTAGGGCAACTCATCCAGAGAGAGGGGAACTGAAGATTTGGCAGGAAAAAGCTGCCAGACAGTTGGGGAGATACAGAATATTGTAAATATAGTATTTCAATTTATTTTATTATGTATTTAATTCATTTATTCCCCAAATTTCTCCCCAAGGGGGACCCAAAAGGGCTTAACGTCATTCTTCTATCATAAGTTGTATCCTCACAGCAACCCGGTGAGGTAACTTAGGCTGAGAAGTGTGTGACTGGCCTAAGGTCACCCAGTGAGCTTCCATGATACCAGTGAGGATTCGAATTTGGGTCTTCCAGATACTAGCCCAAGACTCTTAATTCATACACTGCACTGGCGCTCTCTCTTCACTGTTTAGATTTTTGAAAGCTGTTTGAGCTGCAGAAAAGTAGTCAAGAAATATTTTTTATAAAAACAAAGATTCATAGAAACATAAAATCATACCGTTGGAAGGGACCTCC